AATTGGTTGAGCACTTTATGTAGATTGTCTTATTTGTTTCTCTCATTACTTCTGTGGGATATACTATCAGACTTAGAGGGTTACATAGTTTGCACACTGTAACTCCCAGTGATGGGGCTGGAGATTAATCTCTCTACAAAGTTCACATATTTATCATCATTCTCAAACTGCCTGAAAGCCAAGTTTTCTTCTGTTTTCAAATTTGGGACTATATAATATTGTAGAAATGGCAGTTATTAGTTCTAATAGAAAAGAATGTAATGTAGTACTTAGAGCCGGTAAAATTTAAATTCCCTAAAAATATATCAGAATGCATTATGAAGGTTACTGACAAAAGAAAATAGGTTTGAATAAAGGTTTGGTATATATTTGCCTGGTGTGGTCCTGTGGGTTAATGCGCTTGATTGAAAGGTTGGTTTGAACTGCAAGGTCAGCAGTTCAAGGTCATCAGTTGCTCCTGGGAAACCCCCCTATACAGGGTCACTGTGAGTCACAACCGACTCGAGAGGGTACTTAATAACAACAATGTCCTTGACTAAGGAGCCTGAGTAGCACAAGTAGCCAGTAATAAATAGCTAATCTGAAGCTTGGTGGTTCAATTTTAGCTAGCAGGAAGATCTGGCAGACTGCTTCTGTAACAATTACAGTCAAAAAAGAGCAGTTCTACTCAATAATACATGGGATCACCAAGAATCAGAATTGACTCAGTGGTAGGTAATGGGTCAGGATGTATTTAAGTCTTCATTACAGTCAGTATATGAATGGAAAGTAGAAGTCTTTTGTATCAGCAAAATACTTATCCATCTTGAGAAGATACAATTAGATACTTTTTGTGTGGGTGTAGGCTTAACTTTATCTAAAGAATCTTGGTTTTGTCCCTAGTTCCTGGGAAGTAATCTCTAAACTCTGGGGAGGTAATCTCTAAACTCTTATAGCATCCAAAATGATTGAAGTGTTTTCCTGGAGAAGCTTCAAATCATACACGAGGTTATGCTAATGAGGTAATTCATGTACAGTGGGGGTGGCCATGGCAGTAAAATGCACCATAAGACATTGTCTCAACCTCCAAGAAGAGCAATGGGTCTGGAGACTGAGTTCAACTCAGTGAGCAGTGGTTCCATCAATCATGCTTACACAGTGAAACCCCAATAAAAACCCTGGATACGGAAGTTTAGATGCACTTTCTTGTTGATGGTAGACATCAATACACAAGAGGGTCACTTGTCCTTTGGAACACAAAAACTCCATATTGGAATCACTCCTTGCTCTTTGTGTCTCTTCTTTTGTGTCATCTTTGCTATAATAAAACTGTAAGTCTAACTATAGAACTTTCTTTCGTTTTGAGTCATTCTACTGAATTATCAAACCCAAGGGAGTAGTGAGAACCCCTGAATTTATAACTAACAAGTCAGAAGCTTGGATGTCTGGAATGTCTCTGAATTTGTGGTTGGTGTCTGAAGTCTAGGGAAGACTTGACAGTCTGGGGCACAATGCCACTTAATGCTGCTGGTGGTATGCCGTGGAGTCGGTTCCGACTCACAGCAACCCTGCACAGGGTTTCCAAGGCTGTAAATCTTTAGGGGAGCAGAAAGCCTCATCTTTCTCCCGCGAAACAGCTGATAGTTTCAAAATGCAGCCCAATTCGTAACCACTACGCTATGCAAATAAGGTGTATAGGACTGTAATGAGAGAGTTGGCCAGGTTTGCCTTTCTGCTAGGTTAAACAGGAACCATTTCTTGTCATCAAGAAAGAACACCCAAGAGTGGAGCACATCCTTTGATCCCTGAGATCCCTGTGCCTAACCTCCTCAGTCCAGGAGACAGAGAGCGGGGGACCAGAAATGTGGCAGTAAAGCAGTGGTGGTGATGGCAGCAGCCGAACCAAGAGCATGAGACCGAATGAGCTTCTCATCCACAGAACTCGAGATGAGTGACTCTGGGTGAGACTTAGGAGTGGTTTGCTCTTTGTGCCTTTATGGTAGTACTAGAGAAACTTTGAAACACTTGCCCCAGCAGAGCAGAGACCAAGGGAATGCTTGCCTGAGAGGTCAACGATAGAGTGAGGCATGCCTAATTGGAGGAACTGAGTATCAGAGCATTTCTGATCCTGAATTGTACCCTGTTAAATCCCCTAAAAAGCCCTATAATTGTGGGTATTGTTTGTGAGTTGTGTGTGACCACTGAAATGAATGATCAAACCAGCAGAGGAGCAGAGTGGTGTAGGATGGAGGTCAGAACTGGAAAAGAAGAAAAGAGAGTGGAGGATGTCTAACTTCAGCCTCATAGGAATCGGCATTGGGCTGGTGTTGAGTAAGATTCTTGTTCCTCTTTGTGAAGTCAGAGGGGTCAGACACTGCCCCAATGCCATTTTTTACAGTGTCAGAGGGATACTTGGAGTGGTGTAGGAAGACATCCAAACATGTTATTCTTAGACAAGGCTTATTTTTTTAGGTTAAATTTATGAAATAACCAGTGATCGTAAATCTAACCATGCATAATTTATCAGACTAAATTCTCACAGCAAAGGAATAAGACCATCCAACGTGTTGTTTAGAATCTTAGAAGGACTAATCATTAATAAACATAGAAACAGAAAAATGTTCAAAAGTTCTAAACTTGGATAAGACCCTAGAGATCCATGGGAAGATAAATTTTCATCTCAAGTCAAACGTCGAATTTACTAAAAGATAAAAGAACTATGGGTATGCAGACACAAAAGTTATAAAATACTGACTGGACTTTGAAAGCTGCATGACAACTAAGATCTGACCTATGGGCTACACAGTCTAGAGTGGTTTCTGATGCAGTTTATATAATGAACTTTCCCTGGGAGGTTTTGTTTTTTTATTTATTTATTTTGAGGATACCTTCTGGCTTGGACATGTTTACGGGTCCTGTACAGATTGTAAAACTATGTTGTTTCTCCCCTTGAGACTGCTCAGACTTGTAGCTTCATTTGAAAGAACACCTACTTTTCAATAGCTCCTTCTGGGTTGATCATTAACACCCTCCTTCTCACTGCTTGATTGATTAAACCCCACTATCTGCATCTGGGAAGCAAAGTCTGAGCTGTAGATGGTACTTCCTGATAACCCACCTTTCCATGCTCCGTAGAACGAATGCAATATCATAGTCCTGTGTGCAATGCATTGGGGGACTCTCTAATCTTGGGGGAGAGCAGGTATAAGATCTCATTTTAACATCTAGTCAATATAAAGGCCTAAATGATTGTATGGAGCTCTGGTAGCGTAGTGGTTACAAATCGGGCTGCTAATCTCAAGGTCCACAGTTTGAAACTACCAGCTGCTCCGTGGGAGAAAGATGAGGCTTTCTGCTCCCATAAAGATTTACAGCCTCGGAAACCCTGTGCAGGGTCACTATGAGTCGGAACAGACTCCACAGTACTTAACAACAACAACAACAACAATGATTGGATGGAGTCCTGGTATGGTGCTGTGGGTTAATGCACTGGACTGCAAAATCAGATTGAACCACAAGATTGGTGGTTCAAGCTCACCATCCACCCCTTGGAAACTCTATACAGGGTCGCCATGGATCAGAACCGACTCTAAGGCACTTAACAACAACAACAATGATTAGATAGCAACTATTGAATTTGGCTCAATGATATCTGACTTTTTGTAGGCATTTAATAGCTTACAGTGTGAGAATATATTATCTTTCTTGATCTTCACAACTACTGTATATGGAAAGCAGTACTTTATTTTCCTACATCTTAACAAGAAGGAAATGAGAGTTTGGGAAGCCTGATACTTGCCCAGGGACACAAAGGCAGTAACTGTAATTAAAACGCATATGTTTTGATCCTAACACAAGTGTTCTTTTACATTCACATAAAAAGCCCCATGTTTGAGAATTACAGAGAACTTTCAAAAAGATCCACATTATCAATGAGCTCTGAGGCCAGAAAGTGGATGGTAATATAAATATCACATTACTGCTCACTTGAGCAGAACAAAACAAAGAATGAGTCATGTCAGTATTGCCTCTAGCATCAGAAGTCTGGGAGAAATTGCTAGGATAGCTTTGCAAACCCTTACATGTGACCACTCAAGAAGAGCAGGAGGGGCCTGTAACTTGTAAGGCACTGGCCTGTGCTCCCATGTATTTCACAGGCATATGCCTTCTTTCTCCAACTGGATAATCCTGGTACATAGGTGTCTTGGTCTCTTGGTCTGGTTTTCCCCAGAGGCCAATACTGAGCCAAGGAGTCAAGAGCAAGTAGCTACTCTGAGAGGAGAAACAAACACCTGTAGGAGTGGGGCAATGGAGCTTAATCCCAGGAGGAAACACTGGACACAGTATAAAAATCGCACCTCAGAGATGTCCCACCTGAGAGGTGTGTCTACACCAAACCTCATCAGTCATTTTTGAAGGCTGCTAAGGAGGAAGGCTAATTCACCTGCCTTTTGGTATGCTATGGCCAGAGTGGCATTGGATGGTTTAGGAAAAGTCCCCACGCAACTAAAAGCAGACACAGGACAGGGGAAAGTCACTGGTAGAAGGCTTGTGGGGTATGTGGTGGGCACCCCAAAAAAGAACTTACTACAACAGAATCCAGAACCCTGGTGTGACGCTGTGGGTTAAAGCACTTGACCACAAGGTCAGTTTGGACTACAAGGTCAGTTTGAACCACAAGGTTAGCGATTCAAACTCACCAGATGCTCTTTGGAGACCCTATACAGGTTCACTCTGAGTCAGAACCAACTTGACAGCACTTAACAACAATAACATGATCCTGGTCGTGCCTTTTTTGTTTTTCCTTCCTAACCCTCTTTCAAGACCAAGGAGAGTCTTTGAGACATAAGAAAGCCCTGATAACTATGAACACATCTTCTCACTATCAGGGTGGATGTGAGAAATGCTCACAGATACACATTGAATCTTAACCAGTGAAGGAGCATGGGAACAAAGAAGGAAGAGGCAGGCAGGCACCCCATGTCTTAGTGACTTCAGAGCCAGGTGGAAGCACTACTCACACTTTCTCGTAAATCTTGTGGGGATGCTCCGGCCATTCAATCATGCACACAACCCTGTTGGGCATGGTCTCTGTGGTTGAGTAGTAACCCTGGGGGAATGCCAGCAGGAGAGCCAGCACCCAGATGACGCAGATGACCACCTTGGTGGCTGTGGCTGACAGTCGAGGCTGGAGGGGATGAATGATCGCCATGTACCTGGAGAAGAGAAGAAAGAAGAAAGTTCAGATTGATTCACCAAGCTCTGCCTCCATTAGCCCTCTTGTTTTCTGTCATTGGAAGATTCCCAGAAACCCTTTTACTCTTCATGATTTTTACAACCATGTCTCCATTGCTTTTTATATTCTGTTTTTAAGCTTTCTAAGACTTACAATATAAAATGCTAAAAGTTGTCAGAAATGTCAACCAGAATTTTAATATTTTAGAACCAACCCTAGCAACATTCTAAGGAAGAGTGCTTAATCATTGGAATGTTTAATCATTGGAATGCTCATGATTCCTAAATATAGTACAGTGACTTACGATGAAATTACAACAATTTTTTAAGTTTATTCAATACAAAGATTATCTTTTATCCTTCTTAGGCTAAAGAATAATGTTGATAGAAAGATCCTCATATGATAGTATAAAAGGCTAGCAGTTCTACATGGGTCCGTGCACTTTGAGGGGAAGTGATTGTGTGTGTGGGAAAAAAACAGGGCGGTTCAAGTTCACCTTGAAAACCCTAGATAGCATCGCTATGGGTTGGAACCAACTCGATGACACTTAACACCAAAGCCAGCAAAGAACAACAGCTTTAGGAGAAACCTCCATTGATCCTTTAAGCATCTAGAAGTCAGCATGTGACTCTCAGCATATGCTTTCTGATCCTCACAAGCTGTTGTTGTCCTTGAGTGGGTTCCAACTCAGCTACTCTGTATGGGGTTTTTGAGAAGCAGCTGACAGGTTTGAACTGCTGACTTTATGGTTTTGATAAGCAGTCCAGTGCTTATCCTACTGCACCACAGCAGGACCCCAAGTGCACATAAAAGGCCAGGGTGGGTGGAACCTCCTGGCAGGAATGAGGCAGTAGAGTGGTTGAGATTGCTCCATTTCCTCCTGCCTGCGAGCTGGTATTGAACACGTCATTTGAATGAGTGTGACCCCCTCTTGGAATTTGTGTATAGCCTTTGAGATGCAGCTGAGATTTTAGAAATAATAAATATTCCAATCAGCATCTCATATCAGTTAAAATCACATCAACCCTGCTGTCTCCATTTTAAAGACTTGCGTGTATTTTTCTTGCAAAGTTTGGGCCCCATTCCTTAAAATACACATTTTTTTTTTCTCCCAGAGTAAGAATTATTCATATGTCTTATAATAGTCTTTGGGGAATAAATATTATCTGAAAAAAAAAAACACAACAACACAAAAATCCAAACTCAAATAACCCATTTGACCCTTAGACATTCAGGTATTTCTGGCTCCCATGGCAAAGAATGGTGAATGGAGACTAGGGAAGTGAGCAGACAATAGCAGCATAGTTGTTAGCTAGCTCCACATGATCCTACACAACTCCTTTTCTGTCTTCTTCAGACTCTTAGGAGCTGGAGGCCAGAATGGGGCCAGGGCTATAAGAAAAGCAATTTAATTCAATATGCACTCAGAAAATTCACCCTGGACACCTGGCATACTGAGTACGGTGGTTCCTTCTAGGCTGGAAGATTCTAAATTATCCAGAGAGAAAAGGCACAGGAATGAGCAGCCATAAAATATGACAGTGGAATCAGTGACTGACCTCAAAGGGTAATGCAGCAAATACTTTGGGGCCATACGGGCACTGCGGATGTGACTGTGGATAAGAATCGTGGCAACTATGGGAGGGACGTAAAGAAGTTTGCTCAGTGGGTTTGGGGTGAGCCAGCTGAGCAACCAGCTCTACTGGAAAGACAGGACACTCCCAGAGCCCTTCTCATTTTGTTCCTTCTCCAGGATAGGATCAGATCTGACTTCCTGTCTGGGAAGGTCAATGGCTTTGTTCCCATGAAGACTTTCCTAGAGCCCTTTAATCATTCTAAACTTTAGACTATCTTTTTCTTCATATGCATCATGGATTCCTTGCTAGGTGTTGTTAAGTGCTTTGAGTCATTTCAGACTCATAGCAACCCTGTATAGGGTTTCCAAGGAGTGGCTGGTGAGTTTGAACTGCTGACCTTGTGGTTCAAACTGACCGTGCAGTCGAGTGTTTATCCTACAGTGCCACAGTTAGCTGCCATCAAGTGTCCCTGACTCATGGCGACCCCATGTACAACAGAATGAAAGCTTGCTTGGCCCACTGCCATCCCCATGATTGCTTGTGGATCTGACCATTGTGATCCACAGAGTTTTCACTGGCTGATTTCACAGGCAGATTGGCAGGCCTTCCTATTCTGGAAGCTTTGCTGAAAGCTGTTCGGCCTCAGAGCAACATGCAAGCCTCCATTGACAGGCAGGTAGTATTGCACATGAAGTGTATTGGCCAGGAACTGAATCTCGGTTCCCAGCATGGAAGGCAGGACTTCTACCACAGAACCACCACCAGGACCTAGATTCTCCATCTCTGGCCTGGAAGAGCAATGTCACTGAATGTGTTTAATGTATGGAATTTGAATAGTATGAGGTTTTCCCAGTTTAACCTTTACATACACACATGGGGGCTTAAAAAAATTCATGGAAAAAAATCCATTATCTTTTAATTCCATTTTCCCATGAACTCTTTGAAGTCAGAAATGATAAATTCAGGGAAATTCCCCAAAACTTTTCCTTTTGCCACTTTTTGAAAGTAGATAGATGATCCTGAAATCAGGAGAGAGTGGAGTTAGGAATAAACTTGCAGAAGATATTCTAGTGGTTGTGGTGTGCTGTTCAGTTGGTTCCGACTCATAATGACCCTGTATAAGGCTTCCAAGGCAGTAAATCTTTACAGGAGCAGAGAGCCTCATCTTTCTCCCATGGAGAGGCTGCTAGATTCAAACTTCTGACCTTGTGGTGAGCAGCCCAACACATAAAAACTATGCTACCAGAGTTCCTTATAATATAGTGAGAGTTGGTTCAGAAACAAAGTTGTCTATTGAGTTGATTCCAACAGATGACAACCCTGTGTACGTTAGAGTTGAACTGTGCTCTACAGTGGTTTTGGTGGCTGATTTCTCAGAAGCAGATCATCAGAGTTTTCTTCTGAGACACCACTGAGTGGATTAGAACCACCAATCTTTTGGTTAATAGGTGAACATGTTAACTGTTGGCACCACCCAGCAGGAGCCTGAGAGCAAGTAGTATAAATCATTGTGCAAGTTTCTTGTTTGACTTGGTGACCAGGAACTCTCTCTTTTAAGAGCTGCCTGAGGAGCACGGACAGAGCAAAGACAACTCTCATGATTCTGTGAAGCAAGCAGCGTCTGTCTTCCGGAACTTACTCCAAAGGGTCACAACTATTACCAAGGGTGGCCCAGTAGGCCCCAGATTCAATGATCTTCCATTCCTGGGGTGTCCTCCTGAAAAGAACTCTGAGAAGTCTAGGTCTCCCTTTGGGTTCTGCCTCTTCCCTGCTGCCCGAAGCCTTGGTTTCCACATCAGTCATGAGCACTACAAAATCAGAGGCACTAAGGGTGGTCTGCACAGCCACTAGTTTTGTCTTTTCTATAATTCTGAGAAGGGCTGGATTGGTCAGACACGACTAGCATCTCTGAGTGCTTGCATTGTTGTTGTTGTTGTTGTAAAGTGCCATCACGTTGGTTCTGACTCATAGTGACGCTGAGTACAAGAGAACAAAACAGAGCCTGGTCCCGCGCCATCCTTACATGTGCTGCTATGCTTGAGCTCATTGTTCCTGCCACTCTGCCAATCCATCTCGTTGGGGGGGCGGTCTTCCTCTTTGTCTCTGACCATCCACTTTACTAAGGATTATGTCCTTCTCCAGGGACTGATTCCTTTTGAGAATATTCTGAAGCATGAGAGACGAAGTCTGGACATCTTGACTTCTAAGGAGCATTCTGTTTGTATTTCTTTAACAACAGATTTGCTTGTTCTTCTGGAATGTAGGACGGTTTATTGGATCATTTCTTAAAGGCACAGTTTTTCACCTACAAAACCAGATAAGTAGCCACAAAAAGAACTCACTTGGTCCAGAATCAGGGGCCTCCTGCGCTCACTGACCCTGTTCATCTCAGGCTTCTCAGGAGATTGGGGGTGGGGGGTGCGGGAGGGATGGAGAGGGGTGGTTGTGCACAGGGGAGGTAGTGGAAATTATATGGCCTCCTTTTAATAGTGTATCAAATCCAGATATTAATTTTTTTTCTAATTCAGGAAAAAGGATCCATCTTAAATGGATGAATCCTAATACCCATCCCCATGCCCAAGTTGGTGATACACAAATTCAGAGTTAAAGTCAGGAAGAATTGCATCAACATGCTGGTATAATGGCAAACAGGTAGTGGAAAATCGTATTTAACTTTATTGCAAAAATTGCAATTTGAGAGCCCATTTTAGTTAACTCTCTGCTGTTACTTGCGTGTAGGAGCCATTTCAGTGACAGATGAAATTATTACTCACATAAACCCAAAGAGAATAAAAAAGTCTAACTTTAAAAATTGTATGTATTTTCATTTGTTCAAAGCAGAGGCAATTTATAAATTCCCCTTCCTCTTTCCCTCCCCTTCCTCCCTCTCTCTTTTGCTTTTTCAATCTTGCAAGCCTCCCCTCTGGAGATCCCGTAACACAGTTCTTTCTTATTTAACCAAAAGATAGTACCATTTGGGTAACTTTTCTACAGACAGGTGCATCTGTTTTTTTCTACTGCCCGTTCCTAGCTCGGATACCATTAATACACATTTATATGTCTATTTCTAACCATCCTGAATAATTCTTGCTCATTTGGTTGTAACTTATCTCTGAGCCAGTCTACAAGCCCTAGGAAAATACATTCAATAAATATTTATTAAGTTCAAGGTGCTCTCGAGACTAGCATGCAGTCAATGACTCGTCTTTCTAGTGCATACATTAGTCATCTGGTGACCAGACACAGGGGTCCGGAGCAGTGTGGGCTGTGACTTGCCTTGTTCACATCAGGTTTTCCTCACTCACAAAAGGGCAGCTGGCACTGGGTGAAATTGTACGTGGCCTCCCACATGAAAAACCTAATGCAAACTCTACCTCTTACAGGATTCAGCTTTACTAAAAGA